TCACAACGTGATTAGAAGGCATTTTATTACCTTGCCTCTCTCACCATTACATAGTGACCAAACTGAAATACAATCATCCTTTGAACAAAGTCTTTCAGGGGGCGTAACTTTTCCTCTTGTTACATTTAATTTGTTGATTTTTTAAAAACAGGTCTAAGAATACCTTAGCACCTAAGATTCTGGGGATTTTGTTTTGAAGGTTTTATTTTATGTTTTACAATCATCTACTTTTAGTTACATTTTTTTCCTCTTTGGTGGTACTGGAGCTCAAACCCCAGGCCTCACATTTGCTAGGCAGGCACTCCACCACTTGAGCCACACCCCTAGTCCTTGATCTACTTTTTGTATAAGGAGTGAAGCTGCAATCAAAAGTTCTTTTGGGGAAGGGAGTGTGAAGGATTGAACAGAGTCTTGCTCTACCACTGAGCTATACCCTCAGCACCAAGGTTCCTTTTTAACCCACAGTTAAGGGGATAAAAAGACAAGCTACAGACATTGAGAAAATACTTCCCATCACTATCTGATGAAAGGCTTGTATATAAAACATATAAAAAGCTTTCAAAATTCAACAGTCTAAAAGCAAATAGTCCAATTAGAAAGTGGGTCGAAAGATAGGCAGAAGTATCTTACCAGAGGACAAATGGATGGCAAATATTCAATGAAAAGATTTTCAACATTATGAATCATTAGAGAAATAAATGCAAATTAAGACCATAGTAAGATATCACTATAGATTTTTAGAACAGCTAACATGAAAAATAACAATAATGCTGGTGAGGATGCAGAGAAACCGGACCTCTCAGACATTACTGCTAAGCATATACAATGGCACAGCCACTGTGGAAAAGTCCATCAGCTTCTTATCAAACTAAACACACATTTACTATATGACCCAGAAAGTGCAGTTAGGCATTTACTTCAGACATACCAAGTCAGGTCAAGATAAGAACCTGAATATGACTATTCACAGAGGGTGATAATGGCCAAAACATGGAAACCAAAATGTTCAGTTGGTGAATGATTAAACAAACTGTGGCACGTCCACATCACGGGACACTACTTAGCAAGAACAAAGAACAAACTACTGATATATGCAACAACTTCAGTGGACCTCAAAGCACCATGATGAAAAGAGCCAATCTCAAAAAAATAACATACTGCATGATTTCATTTAAGTAATATTGTAGAAAATGACAAAATTATAGAGAACAGACTAGAAGTTGCCAGGGGTTAAGGAAGGTGATCAGGTAGATTTGACTATGAAGAGGTAGCATGAAGGAGATCCTTGTCATGGTGGGGTAGTTTTTTATCTTGACAATGATGGGGGTTACATGAATATACCCTTGTGATCAAAGAATAGAAAATGTGCATACATTTATACCAGTTTCCTGGTTCTGACACCACACTATAAATATGTAAGATGTAACCAATGGGGGAACCTGTGTGACGTATATACAAGGATGGCTCTGTCCTATCTTTGCAACTTCCCATAAATCTACACTTACTTCAAAATAAAAAGTTTTTAAAAATGTAATCAACATAAAACAATTCAAAAGTTTGGGAAACATGGGAGGAATTTGTAAGTTTGTTGAAAAGGGTGAGGTTGTAATGCTGAATGGAAACCAAAGATGACTGGGGTGACCACAGTGCCATCTAAGAGGGAGCAGGAGCGCTTGTCCAATTCCCAAGACAAGACAGTTCAGTCAGCACTTACGAAATACCCATATTTGTTACAGTGTTATGAAGAAAGAAGTAGGTAAGTGCTTACCTCTGAATTAACTTACTCTCTAAAAAGGTAGAATAATTATTATTCTATAATTTTGCCTCTATAAAAGAGCCTCAAATGTTCTTCTGTCATTTTTTTTCAGTTAGCTCTTGCCCTTGAACTCTCAGCTCAGTGTTAGTCCCTAATTTTGTGTCACTACTGGGTGACACAGAATTTTAGCCTATTCTCGTTAGTCTAAAATCTCCAAAAGGACACAAACATGTCTATGTAGCTTACCACTGTATTCCAAGCACAATACCATGCCCAGCAAATGTCAGAAGCTCCAAATATATTTGCATGAAGAAATCCATACAAAGCTGTAACTCGTATGTATGAAGAAGCACACTGTATGTTACTGGAGTTTGGAAGAACCCAATTATCAACTTCAAGGTGATAAGCCAGTTTATGTGGGACAGAAGGTTCACTGGCAGGATAAAGAATCTTAAGTTCAAAACTGATTATGAGCTGGGTATGGTATTTCATACCTGTAATCCTAGCACCAGAGAGGCTGAGCAGGAGGATTAAGAGTTTAAGGCTGGCCTGGGCTACATAATGAGACCCTGTCTCAAAAAAAAGGCTATGAACGCCAGCCCTTCAGGAATAGGAACCCACTAAAGAAATGAAACAAAGAAGGGTTATTCAAAGCATTCGTTAGGAAAGTTAATGTAGAAACGGATTTGAAATGAGAAAAGCACTAGTGGTAGGAAAAATAATTAAAGCCAGGCATGGTGGTGCACACCTACAGTCCCTATTGAGGAAGGAGGATCGCTTGCATTCACAAGTTCAAGACCAGCAATATAGAGACCCCCCCCCCAGAAAATAATTAAAAGAACATTGTGATAGTGTGGGTACAAAATAGTAATGTCCCAAATAGGGTGAGTACTGGAACAGAAAGATGTGAGGAACACTAAGAACAAAAAACCAACAGAGTTTAACTGATCAGATATAGGGGCAAGTAAGGGGAAAGAGTCAGAGATGATTCAGGATAAACAGTAAATGCTAGTGAAAGATAGTACCATTAACAGAAATTGGGGAGTCATGACTAAGTCCTCTTAGGAGAAGGAATATGCTTAGTTGGAAGTGATGGGTTGAGTGACATCCACACAATTTAAGACTTGAGATTAGATGTAAGAGAAAAATCAAGACTGGCATCGCAGCCAGACGAAACTGAGCAAGTTTGCAATCCCAGTACTTGGGAAGCAGAGGCAGGAGGAATTTGAGACTGAGGTCTATCTGGGCTACATAAAGAGACCCTGTCACAAAAAAATAAGTAAATAAATAAAAACGACTGGCAATGGGTGAATTAGGCAGTTAAAGTGAAGGAAGCAAGTGAAATTGGGAGAAGGTATAATGGGCTTTCCATGGACATCATTTAAAACAATCTGATTTCCCCCTTAGCCAACTTATGTTTATCAGACGATGAGCACCTTGAGAGCACTTTTGATATAATCCTTGCATTCTCTAAAGTATCCATGGTAGCTTGTTAAAGGGATCATCATTCAAGATAATTTCTGATTGACATAAAAAGTGGTGCCCTAGGTTTGACAGGTGCAGGCTTCACTTCAAATTAGTAAAATCGTGAGTTTAGACAATTTTAATCATTTATCCAAAGCTCTGATTTCCCAAAGCCCTAGGACTGAAGAACTGACAAGCTAGACTTTGGAAGTGTGAAAACTTCCCAATGAGACTAGGGTTAAAGTAAATTCTAACTGAAAGCAGAAATACTCTTCCAGAAACTTTTGGGGTGAAACAAATGAAAAAATTTAATATCAATTTTAACTTTTAAACTTGACCACCAAGTTGATAGTGGTCAAAAAGTAAAGAAGCTTTGGGTGGACTGAGGAAGGACTGAAATCTAGATGACATAATTAAAAGGCAATTGAGAGACCAGAGGATTGTGGTTTGAGGCCAGCTGGGGCAAAAAGTTAGTGAGAACCCATCACAATGGATAATAAGCTGAGCATGCTGGTGCCAACCTATGAACCCAGCCAGGCAGAAAGCATAGGCAGGAGGATCCCCCTCCATCTGAAGTGGACCTCAGGCACAAACACAAGACCCTATCCAAAAAAACAGGTAAAGTAAAACAGGGTTGGGGGCGTGGCACCAGTGGTAGGCTTTAAAACCCAGTCCAGAAAAAAAAAAAAAAAAGGCAATTGAGAACAGTTGAGACATACACTTTCAGACTGGTGCGTGTGTTTGTGGCAGATGGGACAAGACACCTGCTGGGGCAAGAAGACTCTAAGAACCTGCCCCGTCATCCCTACTCCAACTACTCTGGGCATCAGCCTGCCTTCCACTGTGTGGAATCCTGCTCAGTCTGCCTGCTTGCTCTTATTTCCAGCAACAGCACACGAACCGTTGGGTGAACTGACCATTTTGAGTCCGACAGCTAAAAACTGCTGTAAAACCCTCCGAAGTTATCTCCCAGCAACTTTAATTGCTGGTCCTGTTCTTTCAAGGGCAACACAGTGAAAGGTGAACGTCGTCTCCGTGTTTTGCTGCTTTTTTAACTTTAAAAAAAAAAAAAAACCAAACAGGTATTACTTCTTGGCATAACAACACGATCCCTTCTTCCAATCATGGGGGGGACCTGGTCCTTTCTCTTTATTTTTCTCCTCCTCCATTTTTTCTTTTTTTGGGCTCGGAATACCAAGCACAAGGAACACAGAGTTCCTTTAGACTCCGAAGAAAAAGGGTTTAAATAAGCACGTACACTAGCAAGAGTTGCAGCTCAGTGCAAGAAGCACCGAAGCCCACTGCCACGAAGCAAGGCGCTGGGACGCGGTAAAGACAACAGACCTGGCCCGGCAGCTCGGAGGCCGTGGGGGGATCAGGAGCCTGCGCCTCTTGTCGCCAAAGCCCAGGGGACCTGAGTGGGCGCTCGTTCCCAGGCCGGCGACAAGCACAGAACCTCCCAGGAGAGCGCGCTTGGCCGGGGAGAGGCGACATTGCTGGAGCAAGGCTCGGGGAACCCCTTGGCCAAGCCCGAGCCGCGCCGCCGGGCCCGCTGCCCGGAACCCAGCCACCCCGCCTGCCGGACGCCGTCCTGTGAACCCGCACCGATGGGAGCTCCCCGAGCTGGAGTCGCCGGGGTCGCGTCCACCCCGCGGTCCACCCTGCCTCACCCCTCTGCCCATGGCTGAGCCGGAGGCCACCGCAGGGAGCGGTGACCAAGAAGTTCACGGTGCTTAGGGAAATGCTGCGAGCCGGGCCGGGACTCCGGCCGGTCACTCACCGAGAGGACGCTCATGCGGATTGGGGTCTCCAGCAGGCACGCCATCTTGAGCCTTCCCACCCGGCTGCTGCCGGCGCCGGCGCGGGGGCCGGCACTTTCGACAGCCGCCTATTAGGCCAACAGCAGGAGCCTCTGAAGAAAGTCAAGCAGGTAAATCAGAGCCGGCCACGCTCTGGACGCCGCTCCAGTATCGGAGGGGCAGGCCAAAGGCCGAGCAAAAGACAACGGCGCCAAATGCCCGCTACGAATCGTCCTCTCGGAAACAGCAGCTACTCTCGGCTTGGGTCAGAGGTGGGCACTGGCAGCGGCTTCCGCATGCGCAAAGCGCTGCCGGCCCCACCTGCCGCTCGCGGCGGGCGGGGCCTGGGGGCGGGGCCTCGCTCTGGAGCTGCAAGCTGTCCAGACTGATAAATTGCAGTTTATGGGTTCACCTATTCGTGTTCCGAAAAACTAGTAGGTGGAGCCGCCTACATAGTTTGAAGTTCACTTTCACATTCAAGATTTCACTCTCTCTTTACGTTAAACTCCTAGCGTCATAAGTATTTCCGTTTTATAGGTGGAGAAACTGATTTCAAAACCAGGTCTTCTGCCACCAATAAGAATGATCCAGCGCTGAAGTCTGTGACCTGCTTTAGCACTGTGTGCCCGCCCGACCCACTTATTCTGGCATAGTCAGGAATGGGTGCTCTATGGCCTCAATGCGTGGTGCTGAATCCTTGCTGCTTCAGTTATCAGCTGCATTACCTTCGACAGATTCCTCTTTGTATTTCAGTTTTCTCTCCTGTAGGGTTATAACGAGAATAGAGGAGCCAATAAACATGAAGCACTTAGAACATGCTTGTAAGGTAGAAAGCATTCCACAGTATATGTGATAGATAGCATTTCTCCAGCCTCTGAATCAAATGGGGGGAAAATGAGTCAAATATCTGCATATTCAGACTAAAACACTCTGCTTTCTGGAGCCAAATCCCTTATTCAGGCTATTACCTCTCCCCTAGACTACAGCAAAAGCCTTCCAAGTGGTCTTGTAGTAGAAAGCTTTTCCTTCCCTTTACCACTCGCTGATTGTTCATCCTCCCCTGTACTTGGTTTCTAAATTCATTGTAGCATTTATCACTCTTGTTTATGGGTCTATTTTCATAAAATGATGAGTTCCTGGAAGGCAGGAATTTTATTTTAGAAAATCCTCTGCTAGACCACTACTTCCCAAACTTTTATCATCTACACACTACCTACACAGTCTTTGCCAATCTGTAACCACAAATTATTCACTCAATATTTGTCCTTAAAGCCAATTTCAACTCATTAAAAAAAATAGCCTCTTCCTAAACCATAGTAATCTGTGAATTCAATTTGTTCTCCTTATTTTTATTCTTAATGCACAATCACATTCATAACTACAAAAAAAGTTTAAGTGTCCATCAATGTAATAACAAAATCATATCATATACCACATACTACAACCAGAGCTTAACTCTGGCATATAGCATATGAAGGAATCAATTGAATTTTTAGTTGTCAAATTGTATGTATAATTGTACATCGTGATACCCATATACCATCTATATTTCATCCTTTAATTCAAGAAATACATCCTTCGGGATGCCCCTCCCCCAAGTATGAGTTAGACGACCCCTCTCCCAATGTCTTTATGCATCAGTTTATTTTTGCCTTTAATGTAGCACCTCTAACAATATATTGCAAATGGACAGGATTTTTGGTAGCTATTTTGTTGGAGGCACTGGAATATTTCATCTAGTCTTTTATATCAGTGCTTAGCATAGTCATTTATTAAATGTTTGTTGAATAAATTTTTGACAGAGTTTGAGCCTGGGACAAAGATGTGGGTGTAGACAGTTTATTTGGGAAGTGTTTCCAGGGAACTGAATTGATGGGTCAGAAAGAGTGAGAAGAAAAAGAAGGAAAAGTCAACATAAGGATCCATTATTGAGGCCATTGTTTCTCCTCAAGCACCTCTGAGAAATGCACACAATGCCCCCTTAGACTGTCCATTTGTCAGGCTGGAGTTATTGTCCATTACTCTATTGGTTGATGACTTCCCCGAGGATGTTAACTCCTGACCCTCCTGGACTGTATTTAAGCACAGAACAGAGGGAGATACCTTACCTTAGCAAATGAAGACAGAATCTATAGGCTTGCTCTTGCAAGAGGATACAAGGAGCATGAATCTAAGCACACACAGAACTGCTGCTACAGCTATGGCTGAAATGGGGAGGCAGGTAGCTATGGTAGGAAATGTGACATGAGGCTACCCAGGCTTTCCTTTTTTATGTTCACAATACTGACATGGCATTTTACAGGACAGAAGCACTGAATAGCAAAATTCTAAGCTTAGGATCAGAAATCTTGTTTCTAGTTCAACTTTTGCTGCTAAATAACCTAATGTATTTTTTGGTGGTACTGGGATTTGAACTCAGGGCTTCACATTTGCTAGGCAGGTGCTCTACCATTTGAACCACACCTCTAGCCCTTAGGAATAATTTGAGTCTAAAGTAAGAGTAGAACTGAGAAGTAAGAAGAAATTTTGATTCTGCCTCCATGTAACAACAAAGCAGTTAAATTTGGCACTGCACTGAAGAGGGAAACACCCACACTGAATTTCCTGCCAAAGGAATGAAATGTCTCCCTGTCTTAGAGCAATATAATGTCTGGAAAAAATAATGATGACTAAATGTGAGCTTGATGAAGAAAAATAGAAGGGTAGAATGGGAAGTAAGTAACCAGAAAGAAATATGAAGAGTATTTGTAAGTAGTTACCTAGAACTACTCAGGATGAATAACAAAGCCATATTTTTATAAGCAGTTATATAGGGGGTTTAGTTGTGACATTTCCATGTTCAAAGCCATATTTTTTTTTGTGGTACTGGGGTTTGAACTAACGACCTACACCTCAGGCACTCCACCAGTCCTTTTTTGTGATGGGTTTTTTCTGAGATAGGGTCTCGCGAACTATTTGTCCAGGCTGGTTTTGAACCGCAATCCTTCTCATCTCTGCCTTCTGAGTAGCTAGGATTACAGGAGTCACCAGCAGCCAGCCAAAGCTATATTTTTATAAGTAGAAAGATGCCTATGCAAAACCAGAAAAGTTTAAACTGTGGAGAGATAGGTGTAAATCACATAACGAATGGTCACCAAATGGATTTTGAAGCATCTTTTAAAAGATTTGAAAACTGAAGAGACTCTTTAAAGAAGAAAGAGAAAATGGACTGGCAGTGGCACGGAGGGGTCCAGTGCTGTCCATCAGACACCATCTGCAGGTTTGCATGTGCACTGAAATGGGGCTCCACCATGGAGCGAATGGAGATGTGGTCCCTGCTCTCAGCAGGCAGGGTTAGAAGTGAGACAGCCCAAGAATTTCCCTAAGGTTGCTTGGAGAATAAGAGGTTGCATTACTTTGGGTACCTCTTTTCTGAGGGACTCCTTTTCAGAGTCCCACAGTCCTCTGGAACCTGGTAGGACTCTCCCACATGGGGCACTAAGCAAATGCCTGAGCAACTAGCCAATTCAGGAAAGTCTACAAGGTCTTTGCAGTGAGAAATAATGCATCAGGAACTCTTCAGGTGCATAGAGAGTTTAACACATGTATATATGCTCAAAGCAGAAGTAGTGAAGTGTTTTATAAAAGTATTTTATTGGAAAACACAGTTAAAAAAAGAAAAGAAAACTGTCTTTTAAAAACTGAATTACTGTCTGGGCATGGTGGCTCACACCCATAATCTCAGCTATGCAGAGGCGTAGGTAGGAGAATTGCAGTCTGAGACTGGCCCCAGGCAAAAAACATGAGACTATATCCAAAAAATAAAGAAAAAAAACCCCGAATTACTACTGTGACAATATTCAAACTTATAAATGTAGAAGAAATGATGGAATTAGAAAATCACCACTTAAATCAGGTCTGGTGGTGCACAAGTATAATCCCAGCACTCAGGAGGAGGCTGAGGCAAGAGGATGGAGATTTGAGGCCAGCCTGGGCTACAATAGTGAGACCCTATCAAAAAAAGAAAAAAGAAAGGAAGAAGGGAGGAAAGAAAGGAAGGAAGGAAGGAAGAGAGAAGGAGAGGAAGGAGAGAGAGTGCAAGGAAGGGGAGGAGGAAGAAAAAAATCACCACTTGACAACAATATGAATTACAATTGTTTCAGGCAAGAATCATCAGTGGATGCCAGTCAGGATAAAAGTCTTAAAGTATCTCCTCACAAGATATTAATAATTGTGAATCACTTTATTCAAGTAGTTCTCTTAATATCACCAGTAATGGTATGGATACTTTAATATACACCGAGAGAGACATCACCTCTGTGGTATTCCTGGGAAAATACATGTGTGCAGTTATGTAGAGCCATAAGACAAACCCTGATGGAGGGGCAGTCTACAAAACAGCACACTTTTATCCTTCAAAACTGTCATGAAAGGTGAGGAAACTGAACAATCGTTCCAGATTAAAGGAAGCTAAAGTAATTCCTTTAAATGCAATTTGTTGTTAAATCTTGGACAGGAAAAAAGTGTTTTTCTTTTGCTGTAAAGGTCATCAATGGTAAAATTGACAAAACTTGAATAAGGCCTGTAGATGAGTACAATTGTTCATCTCCGTTTTGATAACTGTGCTGTGACTATGAAGACAGTACTGTTGTTCGTTCTTAGGACATACAGAATGAAGAATTTAAGTCTAGAACATTGAGCCATTATGGATTAAGCAATTGCTTTTTCTTTAATAACAAAAAAGGAATTTATTTAGAGATTTTTATCGATTCCTAGAACTTCATTCATTTGAATATATATGTTTTATAATATATGTTCAAATACTAGGTATCTGCTATGTGCCAGGCACTGTGCACTGGCTAGGAGTGGAACTGCAGTTACGAACAAGATGGATATATTCCCTGTTCTCACAGGGCTTTCAGGCAAGAGGTAAAAGAGAGGCAAATGCACAGCTGGTTAAAATGTAAGTTGCCAGGTGAGAGGGTGGGGGACAGGGGAACACACAGAAGTGGAACCTCACCAGGACTGAGGTCATTTGGAGAAGCACAAGTGAGGCAAAGTAAGTCAGATCTTTTTACCATTTACAACACAGAATTTAGAAGTCATAAAAACCTATAAAAAAAGAGTTCAAACCCCAGTCACACGCACACACACACACACACACACACACACACACACAAAAGAAATTTCAACAAAATATCCAGTAAGTTTAAGAATCAGAGATCAGAGACAACAGGATTCTCGTCTTTGATGTTCTCTCTTTACAACTCTGTTAACAGTCTCAGTTTTCCTGTACAGTGTGCTGCCATCAGGTGGTGGAAGATGCCAGAACCACTTAGCTCCATTGTAAGAAAGATAGCAAGGATGAATGATTTTCCTGATGTGCATAACATTTCATTTATAAACCAACTTGAACATTGTTTCTGGTATCTATTCCCATAGCCCACTACCTTACTTCATGGATTCCGCTCAGTGCCAGCCTATCTTAGGCCTTCCTGAGCTACTGTGTATTAAGTACTCTACAACATTCCGAGCTCTTTGCTCTGTTTTTAATCAACCATCTTTTCTACACAGTTCTTCCTCCTGAGAGTCTCTTGGTTTTATTTAACTCTTATCTGGCTGTATTATGCTGTCAAAAGTCATTTTTTAAAGAAAGGTCCATGGTATTGTCTCCTGGAGATCTTTTCATGGTTGAGAACATCTGCTGGCTGTCTTCTACATGAATGACATCTTGACTGGCACGTCATACAGGAAAACACTAGGTATCTTCTTTAATTTTTTTATCTTTTGCAGTCTGTCACTGTATTTCGTGACTGTCATATTTTTTAAAGTCAGGCTAGTTGTTTTGCAAAATCTCAATGTCAATTTGCTGATTATTCAAGATTAGGTGCAGGTGTCAAAAGACAAATTTGCTGGCATCTATTTATTTATTTATTTATTTAGGTGAGACTAGAGTTTGAACTCAGGGCTTTGAACTTACAAACCAGGCACTCTACTACTTGAGCTATGCCTATAGTCCTGGCTTTTATTTTTAGCTCTAGAATTGGGCATTCCAATGAGATGAGAGAGAAGGTATGTTTTATAGATTGAAAAGGGCCAAGGAAAGCAGAAACGGAACAAAAAGCACATTGGTCATTTCAAAGGTATTTTCTTTATAAAGGTTAAGACAGAGGAACTTCCTAATGCCCTTAAGAAAGTTTAAACTGGCTTGCTTGGGGACTTGGCTATTAGGTCTCACTCTTCTGATTTCTTGGCAGGTCAGCTAAACAACTTAGCTTTGGTTATGTGAAACTTTAGCATGAGTGATGCCATGTTGGTTTCATCTCTTGGGCCTAATGCAGGAGCTCAGTGTAAACCAAGGGCCTCTTATAAACTTACTTAGAACACTTTTGGCAGGAATACCACAAAAGTAATGTTGTATCACATCAGGAGGCACATGGTGTGTATTTGTCAAGACCTGGTTGTACCTAAGTTTGCTGTTGTTGTTGCTTATTTATTCGTTTTGTTTTAAAAGAGAAAGTATTTCACTATGTTTCCCAGGCTGGCCTGGACTCCTGTGCTCAAGAAATCCTCCTGCCTCAGCCTCCTGAGTATCTGGGATGCCAAGCACACACCAGTGTACCTGGCAAATAAAATTTTGATGTTACTGGGGTTTGAACTCAGGGCCTCAGGCTTGCTAGGAAGGTGCTCTACCACTTTTGCCACACCCCCCAGCCGTTGATCTTATGTTATCTTGGTGCTGGGGATTAAGCCCAGGGTCTTGCACATGCGAAGCACACACTTTACCACTGAGCTGCATCATCCTAAGAAGAAGTTTTAAAAAATACTTCTGCTCTTCATAGCTAGTTTCCATGCTTTGGAGTTGTTTCTTTTCTCATCTTGCTCATTGTTGAGTACTTCTCTTCAGACACTGTCTTTGTCTGTAGAATCAGAGACTTCCTTCTGAGACCATGGATCCCCACACACCTGCCTCTTTAGTCAGAAGCTCTTCACATTTGTCAGAGTTATCTTTGACCATTCATTTTTGAATGTCATGTCATTAAGTTATTTTTTCCTTTGGTCAAAAAAGAGAAAAACTGAATTGACCTATATTTTAAAAGTTTTGTTGCAAAATGGATGTGGAGGGTTTGATCCTCAGCACCACAGAATTGAAAGGGAAATCAGAAGAAGATGCTATCTCCCACCCAATAAAGTGACTAAAATTTAATACACAGATAAGACCATGTGCTGCTTAGCACAGAATAATCAGAACTTTTCTGTATTACCTAGGAAACTGGAAATGAGCACAATCACTTTGAAAACAGACACTCTACTAAAGCTAAACATCTGCCCACTCTCTCATCCAGAGATTCTTTTCCTGTGCATAATGCAAGGCAAATAAGTGCTATGTCCACCAAAAAATTTTACAAGAATAGACATGGCAGATTTATTTATAACAACCCTAAATTGGAAATAGTTAAACCATTCTTCAGCAGAAAACACATGAACTGTGATACATACAGTCACACAGTGGTACATAATAAGAAATAGCATGCCATGGCTATCTACCTGGAGTAGATTCATCCATGAATCTGATCGATGTTAAATGGAGTAAAAGATGACTGACACAAAAAAGTGAAAATTACATGATTTTAAGAACAGGCAGGGCTGACAAATGGCAAAATAAGTCAGAAGAGTGCTTTTCTTCTAGAAGGAAGCCCAGAGACTCTTTCCAAACTCCAGAAATATTTTATATCTTAGTATCAGTGGTGATTAAATATGCAAAAATTCACCAAACTGTGTAGTTAAGATTTGTTTGTTACTCTAATTACATTATATTTCAGTTAAAATTTTCTTACATGGAATCTTCTTCTCTGGGTCTGGACCTAATTGGTGGTGACATGGCTAACTATGGCAAGGTTGGCATCACGGTTCAATTCAGGAGTTTCTGTGATGCCTTCCTACAGAAAACAGTGAAGAAAACTGGAATCAGTCAGCATGTCAAGCACTCGTGATTCTTTTGTACAAAACCAAGATGAAGACACAAGCTGTTGTGCTAAGCGTGGTGGTACACACCTATAATCCCAGCAGTCAGGAGGTGAAGAATTGAGAAAAGGAGGGAATGGGGGGTGGGGGGAGGAGGTACAGGCATCTGGCACTGTGGTCCCTGAAGGAAAATAGAAGCTGGTGATGCTTGGAGCTACACACTGCCATCACTGTGACAGTCAGATGTACTCTACCAGAAGATGAGAGGAATTGAAAGACCAGTAGAGGTGCCACCATCACTAGCCTATAATAAATGGATTCATTTAGGTAACAAGGTTGCCTTGCTATGTTGTTAGTTCTATTAGATGTACTGATTTACATTGTGTAAGTATTGCCTTTTCAAAAGAGATTTGGAAATGGAAGTTCTTCTAATTTGTATTGGAAAAGCTTGCTGAGATGGGTTATAGTAATGCAGTAATTTTTTTTCTGGTCAAATGATATAAGAATATAAGCCTTCCAGGTTAGGTATGTGTGGGCTTTTTATAAATCCGTTCTTGCTAGTTCAACTTTTTTTTTGAGATTCAAGGGTATAAATTATGCAAACTTTTGCTTTTAAATGGTATTTATGTTTTTTTTAATGCTTCTAACGATGTAGGATATACTAAAGAATATATATGAAATGAAAAAAGTTTTTTACATGGAAAAACAAATTTAGAAGGAAACAATACTTGTAAGTAAAAATGAGGGCTGGGGATGTAGCTCAGTGGTAGAGCGCTTGTCTGGGTCCAAAACCCAGGATGTCCAAAAAAACAAAAAAAAAGGCTGGGCAAGGTGGTATATACCTGTAATCCCAGCACTCTGGGGCTTAGATGGGTTTGAGGCCTATACTACTTCGTGACAGCCTGTTTCCAAAAGAAAACTCCAAACAAAAACAAAGCAAAACAAAAAGAAAAGGCAAGCACAGCGGCATGGTCCTACAGTCCCACCTATCTGGGAGACTGAGGCAGGAGGCTTACTTGACCAGGAGTTCAAAGACAGACCGTGTAACGCAGTGAGACCTCTATGCCCCCACCCAAATCAACATAAAAGGGTAAATTTAACAATATTGTAAAAAGTATTTATTGTTCTGACATATTTCAAAAATTCAATGCAAGAGGAAAATATTCAGAACTAATTGGAAATATTCAATTTTTATCTTTTCAACCTTCTTGATCAATTTAAATATCATGAAAATTATCTGGGTTTTTTTTTTTTTTTTTTTGTAAATTTCAGAGAAATTGCCCCAAATCAGTCAGGACACAATGCTTTAGAATTTAATCTTAGACAAGTTTTCCATGGTCTTCTATTGTTGATGTTCTGTTTACATGACCTGTTTCATTTTGAATTAATTTTGGTGTCTTTGTTCCTAGAATATTGTTTATCTAGTTTTAAAAAATGAGCAGACACACACACACACACACACACACACACACACACAAAGAAAGCAATGAGCAGAAATGGGATTATCATTGTTTTACCTTCATTAAATTATCTTTTCTTGATTAAGGTTTCCGAAGGTGTTTGTTTTCTTTCCTTATTTTCCGTTTTGACTGCTGGTTCTTCATTGATCAGTTTGGCCTTTTTCTCTCTTGAATTTTTCAAGACACTTGGTTTATTTTAGCTTACCTTAGAGTTAGGCAAACAACTATTTCTTAGGAAAATTTAGAGTACTAAGGTCCCTTAAAAATAGTATTTTTAGAAAGTCATAGGGGTGTAGTTTAAAAATCATCATTAAATTTTTAAGCTGCATTTAAAAAATATGTTATTTGTGAGTGTCTTTAGAAAAATCTTTTCGGGATTTACTCTCAGGTAATTAATTGTCTTTGCAGGGAAAGACGTCAGTCCAAGGGAATTCGCCAATCGCTCTTGCTCACTTGTTTACCTTGGTGTAATTTCACCAATGTAAACTTCTATTTCTGGAGATTTCATTTACTCATGTGGTTTGAAGTTTTACCATCCGTCAGACTGCCAGGACACAAGCACCAGTGGTGATGGTACATGACGCCCAGGTCAAGCTGAAAGTGCCTAAGCGTCCTGGAGTAGGCGGTGCCCTTCCCGGCTTCACTCTCGCGAGATTTGGAAACCGGAAGTTTCCTCCGGGAATCCGAGCGCGGCGCCAGCACCTCGGTTAATGTTGGCGGGAACCGAGGCAACTCTGTTCCTGGAAGTCGCTTTTGGGCTGCAAGTAGTCTAAGGCGTTGCGGGCGGCGCCAGGCGCCTGGGGCCGACAGGATGCGGGTGGCCGTGGCCGGCTGTTGTCACGGCGAGCTGGACAAGATCTACGAGACGCTGGCGGTGGCGGAGCGGCGCGGCCCGGGGCCCGTGGACCTCCTTCTGTGCTGCGGCGACTTCCAGGCTGTGCGCAACGAGGCCGACCTGCGCTGCATGGCCGTGCCGCCCAAGTACCGCCACATGCAGACCTTCTACAGGTGAGGGGGGCGGCCGGGGCTGGGTTCGACTCCCTGCTGCCCCTCCAGGCTCCCATCCGCGTCCACCCTGCGTCTCCAGCACCTGGCACTTCGCCCTTTGTATACTCACGGGTCTGCTCTTTCATGGGCATCGTGCCTGGGGGGCGAGAAGGAGGAGCCCGGAGGAAGACGTTGACAGGTTTAGATGCCTACCTTGCACGATGGGACTCTAGGGTGAGTAAGTTCGTTTAATGATCCAGGAGTTTTTACTGGACGCCTGCTGTTTGCTAGTTCCGGGTCCAGAAGCTGAAGTTAATAGCTAAGAAATCCACAAAGTTCTTGACCTCAGTGAGGCACGCTGCCTTGAAATTCAAGATTTCATTCTTAAGGACACAGATGGACCCTGGGGATCTTTTGTTTTTTTTTTTTTTTTTTTAAATGAGCTCTGCTTTTGCCTTCGGACTTTATTTTGCTTTTCTGCTATGCCCAGTTTGGTAACTGACAACTTTGTCCTTATGTTCTAGGTATTACTCTGGAGAGAAAAAGGCTCCAGTTCTCACAATCTTCGTTGGGGGAAACCATGAAGCCTCAAATCATTTGCAAGAGTTACCCTATGGTGGCTGGGTGGCACCAAACATTTATTACTAGGTTTGTGTTTGTGTATAATTTTTTTTTGTCATACTGTGGTTTTGAACTCAGGACCTCCTGCTTCATGCTTGCAAGGTAGAGGCCTTGCAAGAGGTACTGTTTGAGCCATGTCCCAGCCTTTATGTATAATTTTTTTATTTGAAGGGATGGAGGAGGCTGTCAGGATTTTGCATTAGTTGGGCAGCACCTTGAGATGTAGGATGTTTTGGGAATGCCATTAATTTAAATAGTTAATCATGACAGTTTAATTGAAATAGTTAAGTGGCTAATCGTTAAAATATGTCCTTATTTCATCTAGAGTTTTAAACATTAGTATGACTGCAGAGACCTTACTCTTCTGATTGGATTAAAAGTAGCCTTAAACTTTTTATAATGTAAATTATTAAACATACACAAAAGTGTAGAGTAGTATAATGAATTTCTGTACTTGTTCATCACCTTAAAAAATTTTTTTTTTCTTTTTTTTTTTTTCATTTTTCTTTTATTATTCATATGTGCATACAAGGCTTGGTTCATTTCTCCCCCCTGCCCCCACCCCCTCCCTTACCACCCACTCCACCCCCTCCCGCTCCCCCCCTCAATACCCAGCAGAAACTATTTTGCCCTTATCTCTAATTTTGTTGTAGAGAGAGTATAAGTATTAATAGGAAGGAACAAGGGGTTTTGCTGGTTGAGATAAGGATAGCTATACAGGGCATTGACTCACATTGATTTCCTGTGCGTGGGTGTTACCTTCTAGGTTAATTCTTTTTGATCTAACCTTTTCTCTAGTTCCTGGTCCCCTTTTCCTATTGGCCTCAGTTGCTTTAAGGTATCTGCTTTAGTTCTGCATTAAGGGCAACAAATGCTAGCTAGTTTTTTAGGTGTCTTACCTATCCTCACCCCTCCCTTGTGTGCTCTCGCTTTTATCATGTGCTCATAGTCCAATCCCCTTGTTGTATTTGCCCTTGATCTAATGTCCACATATGAGGGAGAACATACGATTTTTGGTCTTTTGTTACCATTCTGCTAGCTTGTTTTCAACCCACATCCCTCTAACTTTTTTGTGGAGGTGACTGGAGTATCTTAAAGCAAATCCCAAACATTAGATTAGTTCATCTGTACATATGTAAGTACATAGGTTTTGAGTAAGAAGGATTTTTAAAAATCCCACAGCTAGTTCCATTATTGTACCTAGTTGAAATAATAGTAATTCCTTATTATCTCTTGCCTTGTTCATGCTCAAATTTCCCTGTGTATTCCAGTGATACTTGCTTTACAGTTGGTTTGTTCAACTAGGACCCAAACAAGGTCTACCCATTTCATTTGGTTTTCATGTCTCTGAAAGTCTCTTAGACTATAATGGACTCTCCTCTCTTCCTCCCTTTTTTCATGCCATTTATTTGTTGTAGCTAATCAGAGGTTTGTCCTGTAGCATTCCCTGCATTTTGGATTTAGCTCATTGAATTGTCCATGGTAGTGTTTAAAATGTTCCATTTATCCTCTGTGTTTCCTGTAATCTGCCTTTAGATTAACAGACTTGATTAGATTTGTTTCAGTTTTAGTTCCTTGAAACTGTATAGTCCTTTCATCTCTATTTAAATGTATATTTTTTTCTACAGTAGTTTTTCCAATGATGAAATCATAACTTCAGAAATTTTGTTTTTCTACTTCGTTACTGATTGATCATCTTTTGACAACTGCAATAGTGTAAAATAGTGATATTGTCAGAAGGTAATCAATCAGAAATGTAGAAATTATAGGTTTTTCATACATTATACTGATTGACTTGAAGATTAATAATGTGTAAATCTACCATAGGACATTTTCCTCCATCTCTCCCACCCACCACCTTTCCCCCTATTTAGTTAGGTACCAAATTATGACTTATTTCCCTTTAATGTCCTATCTCACTTATCTCTCCCAGAATCCACTTAGTGTTTTGGCTGATCTGTTCCAGGCCTCCTCTTCCTAGTCTTACTTTGTATATTGTTGACACATTAACTTATAAAAAGAGTAGCTTTATCATGTACTTATTTTCAAATAATTTTAGGACTGCATAAAATTCCAGGTCTTTAAATAGTTTGTTCTCTTAGTAAAGGAATTGCTTTTATCGATAGTAATTTTTATTTACCTTCATAATTTTCAGGTTTGGCTGGTGTGGTAAAATACCGAGGAGTAAGAATTGGTGGCATCTCTGGCATCTTTAAATCTCATGACTATCGAAAAGGTATTGTTGTTTTGGAGAATTAATATTAAATCTTAGAATTTGCGTGCCCCAGAGTAGATAAGCATAACATATACAAGAGTTTTAAGCTATTACATAGCATGTTTTAAGCTTTGTATAAGTATCTCATTGCTTGTATCTTTCTGTAACTTGCTTTTTTAACATGTTTTTAAAATCCACGTTGATATATGTAACTCTAATCTGTTCATTTGTGAGTACCATTTCATTGCAGCTGTATACCACAATGTACTTATTCAGTCTATTGTATCTAAATGAATTATGCCTTGAGTTTTAAAGTTAAAGGAATAGGTTAGATTCATACTGATTTCACAAATTTCATAAATTAAGTTGGCATCTGAAATTTATATTCTCACTATAACTGTCACATCACAAGTCTGTTTCTGCCCTTGCTTTCCGTGATTTTAAATTGTTGGCAGAGCATACGAAGATGTGCTGTTTGCTACATTGCATGTTCTAGTACAAATTGTAACCACTCTTGAAAAGACAGTTGGTAATAAAGCTTATTTCTCTTCAATTTAAGGTCATTTTGAGTGCCCTCCTTATAATTCATCTACAATAAGGAGTATATATCATGTGAGAAATATCGAAGTCTATAAGTTAAAACAGGTATGTAAAAAGTACATTACAGCAATCTTGAAAAAAATTTAATTTTATACCAAATGTATTTTGATCATATTGCTCTGATACTTTTGAGAATAGCAATTCAGTATTTCTAAAAGTCGGATTTTGAATTGTTTTTAGGAGGTTCACAGATGAACAAATTTTTATTTTTTAATGGTTAAAAATTTGTTTTACTGGGTAATTGTAAAACATTTAATTCACAATATCAAATACTATACTTAGGGTAAGGGTAAAGAATATATATTGAAATAAAGTGATATTTCAAAGAAAATATCAAAGTAAATATTTTAGCCAGGCACAGTAGGAGGATCTCTAGTTCAAGGCCAGCTAGGCTACATAGCAAGACCCTGTCTTAAAACAAAATTTAGCTGTTGGTAAGTAAATAATGGTAATAAACAGAAAATAAGCACTGGGGAAGATGATGGGGGTATGGGAAAATGGTGAAGATGTCATTGAAGCACTGGCTTAAATAGAGAATAGGTGAAACTAGGTTTTTGTTTGAGAACCTACTGCATGTCTGATACTGGGTTGAGCAGCTGTCACACACATACTTCGTGTCATATCCACTCAACTCCTGTGAGGTAGATTTTACTTTGCCTTCCTTACTTGGAGGATAAATCGAGGCTCAGACAGGTAAGTGGCCTGCCCAGGACCCCCTAAGTAGCATAGTGTACTAAATTACTGCCTAACTGTACTCATACTCTGTGCTTCGTTCCTAGAGCCTCTGCAGGGGCAGAGAATGCACAGAGGCCTTTATGTCCTGCTCATACAGTGCCCTTGGTGTTTTTCCCTTTTGCTGTCTAAATCTTGCCAGTCCTTTAGATCCAGTGTAGATACTGCTTTGTAGCCATGCCTTTTCTAATTTAGAGTTGTCACCTTGCTCTGAAATTCCCTTGCGCCTGTTATTGCCCTTTCTAGTTTTTCATCTTTGCCTTACATTTTGTTGTATCTCAAACAGTTATCTAAATAGTTTTAATGTGGTTTTCCAAGTATTTGTTTCAGATTACTTGATGGTGCTGAGGAATAAGTACAGAGTATACTTTGTGTTCTCCCTACCAAGACACCAGCCACTTTGAATATTACATATGTAGTAAAGGGAGAAATTTAAGTTGTTACTATGTGAATATATTAAAAAAAAAAAAAAAGTGTTCTTTTGGTTGTCCTGGGGATAACCCCAGAGCAACATGCAAGCTATGCAAGCACTCTACCATTGAGCTGTATCCCCACTTCCCCTAATTACTTTTTCTGATAAATCTTTAAGTTTACTGTATCAGTTGTGTTGGAGATCTCTTGAAATCTGGAGTTTTGGAAACTTCAAAATAGTAATTTATCAAGAGGGAAAGAACTATGGTTACAGACCTCGGCAGTCTAATCAAAGTGTGTCTCTGCTGCCCCGCTTTGCCGCAGAAAGTAGGATGATTTCTGAAGCAGAGGAAAAGCCACTTCTCTGTCTAGATGAATGAGTAGCCTAGTACTTCTATGACTGCCTCAAATCGTCCTTAGAATGAGTTACACAGAAGTCAGGATGTCTTCGTGAGTTTTTGTGTGGTGGTGGAGGGAAGGGACAGCATTGTTTTTGGTTAATCCATTTTTAAGAGTTTTTCTTTTTGTTCTTTTTCTGTTTTTAAAGCTGAAGCAGCCTATAGATATATTCTTATCTCATGATTGGCCAAGAAGTATATATCACTATGGAAATAAGAAGCAGCTCCTTAAGACCAAATCTTTTTTCCGACAAGAAGTGGAGAATAACACGTTAGGAAGTCCTGCTGCCTCGGAGCTTTTAGAGCACTTAAAGCCTACTTACTGGTTTTCTGCACACCTGCATGTGAAATTTGCAGCCTTGATGCAGCATCAGGTAGAAAACAAAAAATTTATTCTTTACTTTAGCAAACACTTACTGAACATCTGTGAACTATGCACTGTTGGCACGGTTGTAAAGCTACAGAAAGAAAGGAAAAATAACTTTACCTCTTATGAGTAACACAATACCTGGTGTGGGGAAAAGACAACAAGCAATTACCAACAGTGTGAGTTTGGTAGAAAAATGTTAAGATGCTGTGGGAGCATCTGGTGGGATGGGGATGGGGATGAGGCAGAAACAAAGAGGGAAAGAATGTTTCCAAAGGAATTGATGGCTCAGCTGAGTCTTGAAGGGCCAGGAAGAAATAGACTCTGTGATGTGTGCAAAGGCTAGAGGTCTGTGAGAGCATGGTTTGGAGAACTACAGCTAGTCCTGTGGCAGAGGCAGTGGGGTAGGGGAGGCAAGAACAAAGTCAGAACTGCCTTCTGGGCCAGGCTCTGGAGTTTGGGTTTTAACCAGAAGGTGATGAGGAAAGTTGGGAGTGTTGAAAGCAGAAGGTCATTTTAGAAAGATTAGTTTGGCAGTAGTTTGTTTGTAGATTGGAGTGATGTGAAGTGGGAGAACCAGGAGGCTATTGTAGCAGAAGACAGGGTTCTGACCTGAGACAGAAAGAATGTAGAGAATGAAGCAGGCTCTAGAGAGATTTTGGAAGCAGAATGAACAAGATTTGGTGACTGAGGGAGGAGGAAATCTAGGATGACTCCTGGAGTTTTCTTTGGGTAAATACAGAGATGAGGTCCTTGATGAAAAATAGAGAATAAATATACAATACACTTAGAATGAGGTCGTTATGGAAATATTCTCTTCTTCCTTTCACCTCTGATTCTGGTTGAATCTCTTTCCCATGAAGTATTCCATAGGAAAAACATTTAGAAAATGCTGGGTTAACAGATGACAATTTCTTCTCACAGTCTTCTATAGAATTCCCAAGAGTCTTTAATGCACTAATGGGCACTGCCTTTCTCACCTTTCTCAAGTGTGGAATGTGATGTTACACATCTCATTGAGAGTTACTTGACCAAACACTTTTTTGTGTTAGAGGTACACTTTAACAATAATCCTGAAAGTTTTGTCTGAAAATATTCCTGAGGCTCTTTCTATTCTGGACTTAGTCTTCTCCTGAGTTTCACTGGGAGAAGGGCAGAGGTTACTCCTTTACTTTCCTTTGGGCTATGCCGCACCTGTATGCATCAGTCTAAGTCTAAGGCAGCTGTATGCATCAGTCACCTTTTCCACATCGAGAAGTTAGGGCACTTGGATTTTTTCCAAGCCTCTCATTGCTGCGTTCTCCCAGTGCCATCTCCTGTTGTCAGCCTCAGGGACGTGCATCTGCATGGTCCCTTTTTGCTGGCTTCTCAACCTCTGACTTTGCCAGTGCATTGTTTGAGCCCTTTCACCTGCACCAAAGGTCACTTTTCTCAGAAGTGGTTTGCTGCCAAGATCTACCCATGATCTCTGTGCCTCCCACCTTTCTTAGCACTTCCCCAGCACACATTGACGCTTGGTCCTCGGCTGGACATACCTTACTTGCTTCTTTGTCTTATTTTATTTTCCTACACACAACAGTATGACTATTTTCAGTGTGTCACTTTTGTGCTATTTCTGGTATGACTTCATGTTTGTGGTTTCTGCCTATTTTTTGTCATTTACTTCTGAAAAAAATAGGTTTATTGTGGTATAATTTACATATCAGAAAATTAACACATTTCAAATGTATAATTCAGTGATTTTAAGTAAATTTTCAGAGTTGTGCAAATATATGTAATCCAGTCTTTTTGTTGGTGTTTTTTTGTTTTTTTTAGTGCCTTGTGCTTGCTGGGCAAGCTCTCTACTGCTTGAGGCATGCCCCAGTCCACACCACTCAGTTTTAGATCATCTCTATTGGTCCATGTGTCCATATTTCATTTGTTTTTAGTGCTTAGTATTTTATGGGTATATCACATTTACTTTTTTGCACCTGTTATTTTTTCATTGTCTTCTTTTGGTGTTGTATCTAATAAACCTTTGCCTGACCCAAGGTTACAAAGATTTTCTTCTATCATTTCTTCTAAAAATTGTATAGTTTAGTTGTGCCGATTTACTTCAGGCTCTTCAGTTATCTTTTACACTTGTATTATACTCTTTGATTTATGTGTTCTATGCTTTCATTCAACATCATCATTAACAGTTTTTGCTTTGAACTTTGGAAGGAAATTGAAGCCCAGAGAGGTTAAGTGCCTGGCTTACTGTTGGCATAAGTGAATATAAATTACTTTTTTAAAAAGCAAGTCATTCTTTTGACACATAACTTAGGAGTGTATGTGATAAAGGTCATTCCTGTCCTATTCAGTGCATGCCTTACCTGTGATATCTTAACATTATTTCTTAACTCATCATTCATATTGCCTAGGACACGGATACAGGACAGACAGCCAAAGCAACCAGATTTTTAGCCTTGGACAAATGCTTACCACATAGAGACTTTCTTCAGGTAAAAAGAGAGCAAAATAATTTTGCAATATGGTTTTATTCTTCCAGTGATTAAAGAAGTATTTTTAATTTTCCTTTCAGAATTTATTTATGCTCTTTGTAATTTATGTGTTCTGAGAATTCTTTGGGGATATTTAAGCTACGTTAATGTTTTAAAATTAAGTTAATTTAAGGTTAAATTACTTAAGTTAGGTTTAAATTCCTTTTTAATTATCTTAAGTTATAATAAAATGTGTAGACTATTGAAAATACATGTATTACCCAAAATTGTAATTTCTTTCATAGGTATTAGAAATACAACATGATCCCGGTGCTCCTGATTACTTGGAGTATGACATCGAATGGCTTGCTGTTCTCCAGGCTACTAATGACCTTATTAATGTCACTGGGAGCCTATGGAACATGCCTGAAAATAATGGCCTGCATACAAGGTAAGTCTGACTTCTTTAGGACTTGCCTTCTCCATTGCATGTACAATTTGGTCTCTCTCACCTTCGTTTGTTTTATTTAGTTTTGGTGTTCCCAAGGAGTTTGTTTGCTGTATAGAAAGGAGGAGGGGGCAAGGTGACTTATTTCCTGGGATATGGGCATTTGGCAAACTCCTTACAAGTGCCTGCTCAGTGACCTGACATAACCCTGTCAGTCATAATTGCCTGGCATCTCCAACTAGGGGCTGCTGGGTAACTGGGTGGGTGCAGACCCCACCCTCAGTGGGCACTGGCCATGTGACAATGCCTTTGTTTTGGTTTTTTTGGTGGGTTTGAACTTGGCTTCACACTTGCAAGCAGGTGCTCAACTGCTTGAGCCACGCCTCCAGTCCATTTTGCTCTGGCTATTTTGGAGATAGGATCTCTTGAACTATTTGCCTGGGCTAGCCTCAAACCTTGATCCTCCCAATCTCAGCCTTCCATGTAGCTAAGATTATAGGCACAAGCCACTGGCACCCAGCTTCCTACCCTTGCTTTTAATCAAAGAAGTTATTACTGGTTAAGTTTCAGAACAAGTGAGGATTGACTGTTACTGTCAAGAAAATACAGGTTTTCCGTTCAAGGGAGGCAAGAAAACGGTCTGTCAAGCATTGACCCAAATAAGTTTGAATGAATATGTGTGCATAAACCTATAATATGCTGAAGATTTGCTTCACACATTAAAGTGATGATACTTGTTTTGTGGTGTGAGCTACCCCAAGGGGTCCTTGTTAACTGTAATTTTACCAATATGGAATTTTTGACAGATGGTTTATTTTTCATGCTTACATTTTCACCTGGAGTTCATAGTTAGGTTTCATCATTTATTGTTTGAGGCTGATAAAATGTAAAAGCTGATGGATCTGACTTTTATAGGTGGGATTATAGTGCAACAGAAGAAGCCATGAAGGAAGTAATGGAACAAATGAATCATGACCTCAAAGTTCCTTATAACTTCAGTGTAACAGCTGCTTGTTATGACCCTAGCAAGCCACAGGCACAAGTGCAGCTGCTTCATAGGATCAATCCTCAAACTACTGAATTTTGTGCCCAACTTGGCATCACAGACATTAATGTCCGGCTTCAGAAGGCCAAGGAAGAACACCACCTGTGTGGTGAGTCTGAAGAGGAGGATGATGTGGAGAGTAATGACTCTGGAGAAGACCAGAGTGAGTATAACACAGACACATCTGCCCTGTCCTCTATTAACCCAGATGAAATAATGTTAGATGAGGAGGAGGAAGATAATCTTGTAAGTATGCACAGTGACGTGAATACCCCGTCTGTAGAACCTTCTTCCGATCAAGCTTCTGACTTTTCAACAAGCTTTTCTGATGTCAGAATCTTGCCAGGTTCCATGATTGTGTCTTCTGATGATATATCAAGTTCACCAGTTGGTAGAGAAGAAAAACTTGGTGAAGTTGTGGAATTAGGGGATGGGAAAGACTTAACTGAGGGGCCGTTGAAGAGGTTGAGTAATGAACATGAACCTGAACAGAGAAAGAAAATTAAGAGGAGGAATCAAGCCATCTATGCTGCAGAAAATGAGGAGGAGGAGGAAACATAAGACAGTTTACTTGCCTTAGTATTATATGAGGATACATAATTTTCGAGAACCTATTTTTAAAGCTGGATTTTTGATTCAAGACTTGACTTTGTAATAATGAAGCTACATAAGAGAATTATACTTGGATATCAATTTGTCTTTCGGCTTTTGTACGTTTCAGATACAAGCATTAAAATTTCATACATTATTTGATTGATTACCTTGTTTTTGAAGACACATTCAGTTCAATGCATTTTCAGCACTTACTGCACATGTACTTTGTGTCAAACACTCTTCTGTAAAATGGGACTATGAAGATGGATGAGACAGGGATTTTTACCTTCAAGGAGTTACTGTAAACTTTTGATGTATAAAAAATGGCATATTTATGCTTTGTGTTACAAAGTTAAATCATTGTGTATATAATCATGTATGTGTTCTTTTCATTTAAATTTTTCATAATTTTTTTCCCTGATCAGCTCATAATGTCTGTCAAATTGAAATTGAAATTGAAGATGATACATAAAATTTCAGGAAATAAGTTGTTGTAAATACTAAACATTGGTTAAACATAAAATCTTATACTTAATTGCTAAAAATTAATACCCTTACTGACCCTTGCATATTATATTTTAGCTGTAGCTTCAATTTTTATGTAACTATAGTGACTATACAGGTTTCTTTTGGCACAGTGCAGTTTAGTATTAATTACCAACAAGGATCAAGGTGCACAAATGCTGCCCCTTGGGCTGCACAGTGCATTGGAAAACCATATGGAAAAACTACACCTCAGTGTTGTCTCTGGTTAAAATGTCTTGGACACCTAAGGAGATTGCCACCTTGGACTTTGGGTCATGAGTCATAGATCGAAAGGTTGTTCTAGGATCTCATTATTCCACTGCAGTCCAAATCCAGGAGCCAAGTGAGAATAATGTAGCATAGGCTTCCATCTTGTCAGCATTTGACTTGATAAAGGTCTCAAATTTTGGGGCTTTTGCCTTATTCCCTTCCATTTTCCCTTTTTTTAGTCAAGTATTTAACATGTTTATCCTTATGCATATACAATATGTAAAGCTATGAATTTCTACCAGTCACTGATTTAAATGAATTCCATAAATTCTGATATTTAGGGTTTTTTCCCCCAGGAAAAAAATTTTAACAGGAAAAGGAATACATATAATTTATTACATGCTAAATGCTTTGGGAATTTTAGATTCCCTTAGAAATTCTTAAAAGTAAAAGTAGTTAGATATAAATCAAATACAAGAAGCTGGCCCTGGTGCTGTGTGCCTGTAGTCCCAGCACCCGGACTGAGGCAGACCTTCATGATTACATGTTCTAAAAAAAGAAAAAAAAAAGTAATCTTCTATCTTATCCAGTCAAGAAAGAAAATAAATGGAAATACAAAAAATAAATGACAGGGAAGAATGCTGAAAACTATTCAGATAATTATTCTATGTGAATTGGTATAAATTTGACAAATAGATGGTTAAATTCCTAGAAAAACAGAATTCACTGATACTCACTGTCATGAGCAAATCATGTTAGAAACATAGATGACCATGCTTGTGTCTTTCCACAATGTGAGAATTTAGTGAATAACAATAAATTCACAAGCTCCGTCAGTTTCATTGACTTTAATTCACCAAGTACTACTGATTTTATTTGATAGCCAGGGTCACTGGCAATCATAGGTTCTTTTATTCCAACCTTAATTGCTAATTTAGCTAGCAGATCACAGATTATATTTCACACCATGACATGTGGATTACAGAATGACTATGGGTTCAAAGGGGCCTTACTGAAGGCAAGAGCAGAGCTGATACAGATGCAAAGAGTGTCACTGCCCCTGATTAGGTAGGGTTAACAATGAACCCTGTCACAGAGCTATTGCAGCCAGGGGTATTAAAGCACAGAACTGGCTCCAGGTTTACTGGGTCCAGATGGGTTGTGTCAATCGGGACTGTGCAGAGTTGAAACCCCACAGAACAGTCAGGAGTCTGTTGACAGTGGGTGATGCATGCACCAGATGATCTGAGGATGGGCTGGTAGGTGCTGCCATGTCCGGGTTAGGTGCTTTACACGATCCAAGTGAGGAGGTTGCATGATTCATTGCTGTGTTCAATAAACTCAGCGGCATTGTTTTTCTCATGGTTTTCATATGCATGTGTGTTCATGTGTTCCGAGTTTATTAAATAAGTTTGTGGGTGGTAATATTTTATTTGCCTAAAGAAGTTATTTACTAGTCTGTGCTTTCTGGCTTGTGCTTCACCAGTAGTTGTTTACTTGAACAAACAAGATGTAGAGTCATCCTGCCTTAGCATGTGTACCCAAAATTGAGCAAATTGCTATTTATGGCTAAAAAAATGGCCTTCACAGCCTGAAAGCTACTGTTCTATACATTATGAAGTGACTTTGGAGCAGGGCAGAGCCTGATCCCTACGTTCACCTTTGTAGAAATGAAGAGTTTAAACAAATTCCCATAGGAAGCATAGAGAAAGCTATCACAGAATTACCCCCCATAAAAAAGGGCCTGGTCCAGGAAGTTTTACGAGGAAGTTACCAAACTTCCCTAATTTAAGTAAGCTGTTCCAAAATATTGAAAATGAAGGAAAGTTTAAAGTTTCTTTTTGTGAAGCAAGTATAACATTGACGCAAGCTCTGCAAAAGAGAAGAACCCAAATGAATCACGCCTGTGAATAGGAGTAATCTATAATACATTTTAAGATGATCTGGAGTGACCAACTAATACAAAGGTGGTTCAGTATTGGAAGTCTGTCCATATAATGGACGTATTAACAGATCTCAGCACACACATCATGATGATATCCGTGGATGATAAAAAGGCCTCTGACAAAATTCAACACCCATTTTCTGATTCTGTGAAAACAAGCAAGCAAACAGAAAAGGAAAACACCAAAAAGCTAGCATCTTGCTTAATGGGAAAACTGGAAGTACTTGTCAAAGCCAAGTTATAAGACAAGGATATTTAACATTGTTTTGGAAAAAGCAAATTAGACAAAATACAGTGTGTGTGTGTATGTGTGTGTGTGTGTGTGGGGGATGAGAATCATGAAGAGACATCCACAGACAGATGGCTGGCAGTTCAGGTAGAAGACACAAGAAGCTCAAAGGTGAAACCAAAATGACAATGCCTCAGAAACATGGTAAGACATAAAATGTACAAATCAGTAGTTTTCACCCAATTACCAGTGATAGTTAATAAGGTGTGCAAAAGTTAATAGAATAACCTGAAAATACAAAAGTAAGCTTTATGGAAAAGCATCTTTTATTCTTGGATATATTCAACATTATAAGATCAGTCCTCAATATACAAATTTAACATGATCCCAGTCAAAATACTAATGTGTGGGTTTTTTTTTTTTTCATTTGTTCTCCTGAAGCTAGACAGTTGATTTTAGTATTCATATGAACAATTGGAAGAGACAGGAAAAATCCCAAAAGTGAGCAATGATGGCATACCGGCTATATCAGATTTCAAAATATACTACAAAGCTTCTATGCTTAAAACAAAGTGAATGTCGTACGTGAATGGACAAACGAAAGGAGCAGAAAAACCAGAAATTGTGGTGAGGGTTGAGCCTGTAATCCTGGCTCTTTCCTGTAATCCTGGCTACTTGGGAGGCTGAGATCAGGAGGATCCAGGTTCAAGGCCAGCCTGGTAAATAGTGAGACCCCCCCCCCCAAAATAACCACAGCAAAATGGGCTGGAGGTGTGGCTCAAGAGGTAGAGTGCCTGAGTTCAAACTGCAGTCCTCCCTGCAACCCCCCACCAAAAAAAAAAAAAAAAAAAAAAAGTGTTGGATATCTGCTTATCCAGGTGGGAAGAAATAAAGTTGGGTTTATTCTTTATGTACCAAAATAAACTCCAAGTAGATGAGAGATGTGTGAAGCACGAAATACCTGAAGAAAACAAAGCTAAATTTCCTTTTAACCTGGAATTGAAGAAAACTTTTGAAATGACATTTTAAAATATAAAAACAGTAAAAGACAAGATAATACGTTTTACTATATATAATTACAGCTTTTGCATGGCAAAAACCCTCATCTATCACCTTCCAGTAAATTCCCTGTTGTTTAATTTAGGCAGTGCATGTTTTGATGCTTTCATCCCAGTTACCCTGACTCATACATATACTTCTCAGTGCTGATGAGCTTGTTGGAATAGGGAGGTTATAACACAAGGGAAAAATAAGGCTCTCACTTATTTTGATTTCTTTCAATTCTTTATTTTCTTAGGTCACTCATTTATTCATTCAAGAAAAATATTTATTGAGATATTTCCTGGGATGGTAAAAACTAGATATAACTCCTGACTTTGTAAGCTTGTGGTACAATGAGAAATTAATATTAATAAAATAATCACACCAATAATTTTGAAATTATAATAGTCGGGCAAATCAGAGGATTATGATTCATGGGTATTCTTTAATACTTATTGGAGGTCTTGGTCAAAGCAATAATGTTAAAAAAAAAAGGAAATGAGTTTCATTGGAAAGGAAACAGTATTGTATGCAAACCATCTCTACAGGTAGGTCATCTGTATACAAACGACAAAATCAAGAGAAAGATTCCTATAAATAGAAAAGGTCAACAAATTTGCTGGGTACAGAGCCAGGCTTGGTGGCATCTGTAATTCCAGTACTCAGGAGGCTGATGCAGGAGGAGTTCCAGTACAGCTTGGGCTACATAGTAAGATCCTGTTTTTAAAAAATTAATAAATAAGGTGGGTACTGATGGTCCACACTTATAATCCTGGCTACTTAGGAGGTTGATCGCAGTTTGAGGTCAGCTGGGGAAGATAGTTTGCAAAACCCCATCTCCAAACATAACCAGAGAAAAATGGACTGTAGGCATGCGTGGCGCCAGCTTCACAGCTTTGAGTTCAAACCTCAGTACCACTAAAAAAAAAAAAAATAGATAAAATAAATAAAAGAAAGCTTGGAAACTACAGAGAGAACTTTAAAAGTTAATATCATTTTCTACAGCAGCAATAACAAGAACAAATGACAGAGAACAACCTGGTACCAATGAAAATGACAGCATTTCTAGAAATTAGCTGGCCAAACAGCCCCTCCCCCACAAGACTTTGTCATAAATGAAACAATCTAATATTTATATAAATGAAGAAATAGTCCATGACTCTTGATGTGATAGCTTAACCATGTAAATGTGTCAATTCTTGCCAAATTAACTACTACCAATCAGCCCAAATGACCTAAGAGGATACATTGACTCTACTCTGGTAACCTAACAAAACTAGATTGTGAAAACTTTTGCTGGTTCATTCCTTTCTGAACTTATTAAATTACTCTGTACTGATGGTCGCTAGGTTGTTTTCAATCCTTTGACAACACCAACAATGAATATAAATATATATATATGTATAGATATATATG